TGGCATCAAATGTCTTGTTTCCGCCAAAGATGGCGATACTACTAGGTTTTCAGAGAGGAAAAGAAGATAGCGTAGGGCCTTGTTAATCTGTATCTTAAATAACACATTGTTGTTTAAAGTCAGACAAAGGGAGGAAAAAAGAAGCTTTAAAGGTTTGTATGGTAGTTAGACCATTAATCCCAATTTAGCACAAGTTACAAAAAGATTCCAAATATTTGATTTCTTCATCACATTAAGACTAAAAACAAAAATAAACAAAAGAAATCATAAATTATGCTGACATAACTTGCTTGGCCCTTCCCACAGTCTGCACTGCCATACAGTGAGCTATGACCAAAATTATGTATTTAAAGGTTATGTGTTTATACTGGACCATTTCTCAGCAGGATTAAGGTATTTCCATTCAAACACCTCATTTCTTGTTCCATCAGCTTTCATCACTGATCAGTCTGGTTCCTTATTCCTTTGTTTACATGTAAATGTTAGGGCCTCTAGCAGACAGTCTTATCTACTGTAACAGTAAAGTTGTCCAAATTTAACACCATTGATCATCCTTCTGGTCAGCGTGAAAGTAAACACTGCGTTCTTAATGCGTGGAAAGTGTGTGCATGTGTAATTTCTGTTACAAAACTTGTAACTTCAAGGATGTCTTTAAAAAAACGTTCAAAAAAACGAAACACTGGAATTTTGAGGTTTAGCACCTTAGAAAACTTTACAATATAGTGCACTGAAAACTGTGTCCATGTAGTTGGAATGTGAAAATCTAAAGTGATAAATTCAGAGGCTAAATCATTTTTTAATCAGTGTTTGTTTAATTTAATTAAAGTTAGAAAAAAATTGCTTTTAGTTATATGAATGCTTATATTTAAAGTTATATACGCTCATTGGCCGCTTTGTTAGGTTCACCCATGCAACTGCTTGTCAGCCAATCACATGACACCAACTCAGTGTACTTAGAATGCTTTGAAAAAGAGAAAGTATCCAGCGAGCTGCAGTTCTCTGGGCTAAAATACCCTGTTGATCTCAGAGGTCAGAGGAGAATGACCAGATTAACTCAAATAACTGCTTGTTACAACCAAGGTATGCAGAAGAGCATCTCTGAACACGCAACACATTAAACCTTGAAGCAGCTGGGCTACGGTAGAAGACCGCAGCACATGCCACTCATGTCAGCTACAAACAAAAACACTAAGGCTACAACTCACACACAGGCTCACCAGAATTGGACAGCAGAAGATTAGAAAAGTGTTGCATGGTCTGATGAGTCTCAATTTTCTGCTGCCACATTCAGATGGTAGGGTAGACATGAAAACATGGATGTATCCTGCCTCGTATCAACAGTTCGTGCTGCTGGTTGTGGTGTAATGTAGTGGGGAATATTTTCCTATCACACTCTGGGCCCGCTTCTTATTGTTTAAACACCACAGCCTGCCAGAGTACTGTTGCTGCACACGTCCATCCCTTTATGACCACAGTGTACCCTCCTGTGTACCATCACGTACAGTGTATATAAGATTTCTGTAGTTACTGGACATTACACCAGCCTAATAAAAGGTCTATTTTAAGTTCATTTGTTTGCATTTGTTACCTCAGCACTCCTACACTCCATAACTCGTGACACTTTTGTTACACCTGATTGTTTTATGATGTGCGTTTGATTTGATGCCCTAGTAAACTACTTTGCAGGGTAGATTTTGAAGCTTGCTTATTTAATTATTATTGATTTGATGATTTTAAAAGCATACTTTTACAAAGAATTATTGACCATGTACATCTTTTTTCCTATAATACAAACCTATGTAAAATTCATAGGTTTTTCTTCAAGGTTTATCTAACCTGGGTAATCAACCTTGTGTATCATCCTGTATTCTTCCAGCAAAATAATGCGCTGTGTCACTAAGCTCAGATAATCTCAAAGTGGTTTCCTGAACATGACAATGAGTTCAGTGTACTCAAATGGCCTCCACAGTCATCAGATATTAATCCAATATAGCACCTTTGGGATGTGGAGGAGCAAGCAATGAATAAGCAGCTGTGTGGCCAAAATCTCAGAGGAATGTTTCCAACACCTTGTTGAATCTATTTATGAAGACAAAAGGGAATCCAACCCAATACCAGCGAGGCGTTTCTAATAAAGTGGCGAGTGAGTGTATTTTTCCCCACACTGGAAGCTATTGCTTATTCAGTGTTAAAGATAAAACTGATATTTGCTTTCTGGTAAGGAGGTGTGACAGTGTTTAGATTTATTAACAGACAAATTTATTAGTTCAACTGTAAACGGCTTTTAAAATATCTACTCTTCAAAACCCAGATATATGATACAGTTAGTCAAACAGCCATGCTGTGTGCAGATCATAGCATGTTGAGATTACAGGAATAAACATCACATATTTATGTCTCCTTTTTTTAATGAGCTAAAATGTTGGTTTAGGCATTTATAGATGTGTCCCAGTCACACGTGTGAAACGCGGTACAGAGCCATCTGTGGCAGAAACCTATTTGAATTTCACACGAGGCGAGTTCCTCTTGATACCTCAACATGAAAGCCTTCACGTCTCTTCTCAGCCTCGACCGCTGCCCTCGTGAAATGGGCTCATTGAGCTGTAAGGTACAAAGGGACACGACAGCACCCGGCAATCACGAAATGCATCAGAGGCAGACGCCGAGAGGCCTCATAATAAAAGGACGGCGTGTAGTAGAGAGCGTAATAACTCCCTCGCTATCTTCTCAGCCTGTAGTGGAAAGCTCTCGGTGGTGGTGGAGAAGGAGATCTGTATATATATATATATATATATTTATATTTATATATATATTTATTTCCATATATATATAGATTGTAGAGGCAGATTTATCTGATGGGACTTATTCAGCTGTCGCTCTGCCAAAGCTATAAAAGGAAACCCACACATTTCAACTGTTGAGGAATAAAATACACAACAGAAATAGACACTGTAAAGATTTCAGCACTGATGGCTGAGAAATAGTGAACATGCTGTTATCTCCCCACAGACAGAAACACAACGCTACAGTGTGATTATTTATTTATTTGTTTTTTGCTAGACAACCCCAAAAAACCCTCACATTGGAAATTACAGTAAGATTGCTTGTCCAGCTTTCGAATTCGTCAATACAGAAAAAAAAAATGATGGTGTTGGTAAAAATGAACAGTTTTTAGGCAGCACACACACAGCTCTGAGAAATCGCGACAGGTATTTTAATTCAGCTAATTATTTTCATTATGACCTCTGATTATTTAGTTTTCATTTTGGTTTTTAAAAAATCCAGTAATTGTTACAGGTGAGAGATGTAAACCAGCAAGTGTTTGACATTTTTGGCTTGAAAAGATCAATAAGCGGTTTGTCCTGTCGTCGGCTAATTAAAGAAACAATCCATCCACATGCCGTGCAAAACATTAGTGAGAATAGTTTTTGGTATTCACTCTAAATCAAAGCACCTTCTGAATCTGGAGTCCTGTGAGGCCTGTTCATTTGGCTGCTTTTGCACTAAAATGGCTCGTGTTGTTTTGCAACAGAGACAGAGTCTTTGGGGTTTCAGCCAGGCGTGAATGGTGAGACGCTACAATGGACACGAAGGTTAATGCAGGAGAAGTCAGACAACCAGAGCCTGGATCTGGATCAGCCCCGAGCAGGTGAGTCACCATTCTTTTCCTAAATAGATGCCGCTTGTTTCTCCAGGACACACCAGCAAGCTCCACAACACTGTCTGTACTTCCTTCCACCTATTCCACGTAGATAATGCCTTAAAAAAAACCTATATGCTCTATAACAGTGAATTTTTACATTTTCTTAAAACTGAAATAAAACAGTTTTATACACTGAGGCAGTCATTAGTAAGGAATATAGAAAGCAAGCTATGCTGACTGATTGTGCATGAGGGCGACCTGAACAGTGACCACCACCAACTCTGATTCTCCTGCTCCCTGGAATTCCCACTTTTCCACCTGCAGGTGCATATTTGTATTGGCAACTGGATCTCCTAAGATGAAGTAGCAGGGAGCCAAAACTTGTAGGAAGTACAGGTTGTTGGCATTTATTGTAATTTGTTCAAACAAAAACATGGCTTTTCAATGAGCTGTGTGCCAGCACATGATTTTACGCACCACAGTTCAAGTCATTTGAGACAAATGTTCTCTCAGACTTCTTGGGATGTTACAGTTGTGCTCTGTGTTGAAAGTGTCACCCCCTCTTTTGGTGTGGACACTCCCTGATCTTTCAGGTGCAAGTTTGAACCCTGTGTTGAAGTCACAGGAGATGAGAAGAGGACTTCAAGGAAACAACCCACAGTGGAGGCTGTGTATTACTGCAAAAGCCAAATTTATTTGGGGTTCTGGATTTTGTTTGGTTATTTATAGGCACAGTCTCTGATCTGATTTATAGTGTGGTTCAGCAGTTATTTCCTGCTGGGAGTTCTTATGTATTTGTATTGTGTGTGTGTGTGTGTGTGTGTGTGTGTGTGTGTGTACGCAGGTAAAAAAAAGAAGTCTACTAGAGATGTGCTTCTCCCCTGCAGGTGAACTGAAAGGTCACACAGAGTAGGCATTGTGTTGTCATGAGTGTGTAGTTTGCGTGTCAAGCTCGTGCACTGTAAAGAGCAGGAGATGGATGAAGCCCATAAGAAGACCGGCAAAGTGAAGATCCGATTAGATTTTCTGAGGTAGTCTGTCTCTAACAAAAGCCCAGTTACTTTCTTTGCTTCCTTAGCTTTAGTCGGCCCTGAACGCTTCGGATGGATTCAAACTGCCCTTCATGAAATTATTACTGAGACATGCAGCCGCTGAGCAGCCGTAATGGGACTGCTGCTTCTCTGGTTCTCAGGCTGATTAGCTGGCTGGCTGACATGAGCTGCATTCATCACAGCTGACAGTTTTATTATTAAAAATTCAGATCGGAGAGGAAATCTCTTCATTGTTGTGCGGGGAGAATAGCACAGAGTAGATAAAATAACACGGCTTCTCAATGAAAAATCTGTTGCCCTTCTGACAGAATACAATTCAGTATCTCTGTATCATTTGCATTCCCTCTATGGCTGTTCTAATATTAGGCTGTCAGTCACAATCCTGTATTGTATGCAAACTGAACAGTTATTGTTGGAAGCTGAGGACAAAATTTCAAGCTTGGTCTTTGGGCAAGTTATGCTAATAATATTCCATGCAAATGGCCTGCCAAGACCACACTCCTCACTAAATGCCACCCAAAAACTGTTCTGCCTAATCCGGATGTGCAGCTTAAAAATAAATAAACACAGTACAGGGACATGAGTATTGGGCCACACCTCTTCATCTTTGAATTCAGGTGTCATTGCCACAGGTGTATAGGGTCAAGCACCTGGTCATGCAGTCTGCCTTCACAAACGTTTGCAGAAGAACGAGTCGTTGTTAAAGAGCTCACTGAATTTGAGCGTGTTGCTGTAATAAGATGCCACAGTTACAACAAGTGAGTTTGTGAAATTTCTTCTCTCCTTGCCCAAGGAGTTCAAACGCTCCTCGGGCAATGACATCTGCACAAAACCTGTGCCGACCAGGGGCAAGACTGCTCCTCTGAAGCCATGTTGAAACACCTCTAAGCAGTAATTTGGGAAATTATTTTGAAGCAGTAATTTAAGATAAAAACAATATACCACCAATCATCCTCTATTTATTTTATAATGTCTCTGCAAATCCACAATAAGTGCAAAATCTCGTCTTAAATACACCCGTCAGTATTTATAGCCTCCAGATTGATAGTTAACCATGCCTTCATCCCAGGCTGTCAGAATTAATCAACGCCCCCAGTAGACACGCACCCATCATTTTACATATAAGAAAAAAAATTGATTTTAATTTATTTTTTTTTCTGTTGCGTGATGATGAAAACAGATATACAGGTGAGATACAGGTAGCTCACTGTCCCTCAGTCTGCCACACATCCTTACAGTAGAGGTGCTCATACTTCGCACTCCTGAGATAAAATAATGAGATTCATTGTATCTTCACCCCAGTGCTCCATTTGTAACCAGTTTTATGTTTTTTCTTAATCTGATGACACATGACCTTTATTGAGTTCCTGGCTGCAAACAGATTTCCCTCATTATCTCTTACAAAGGCACAAGTGCACATGGGGAAGGTACTTGGCTGTGCTAATAGACTGGAGACATAAAGATGTAAAAAGGCTGGACAGGTAGTATAAGGCACAGCAGTGAGCACGGCCCGAGCCTCAGGTTGCAGTCCCCCTTCTCAGCCGGCCGCTTGACAGTGATTGCATAATCTGGAGTGTGATTAAAAACCCTGCCCTGGACCTCGGGGGATATTATCTCGGGGATTGCACAGTAACATTCAGCCCTCTGGCTCTCTTTTCATCCGTCTGCTTCTTAGCAAGATGGAGACGGTGTGAGCTGACAAGCCTCGAGGAGACTGTGGTTGCTAGGCAACTGAATGCTAAATTTTGAAACCCAGACAATTCAGTCTTTCAAGCATTAAAAGTGCAAAGAGCTAAAAATAGACAGCTGGCCTCGGGTGGGGGTTTAGGGTTCAAAGACTCCAAACGATGTAAATGAAGTAAATGGCTCAGGGTGCGTTGTTGTCGAGGTTTGTTATGTTTGTTTTGGCAAGCAACAGTCGGCTTAGAATAGTATTTTTCCACAGCCATTTTTGGAGAGTTTTTTTTCAAGAGGGAGGAAGTGTTGAGAAAGAAAAACTGGCAGATAATCCAACTCAAATTGTCTTCGAATGGTCCTGGACTGTTATCAGGGCGCTTACATTATACAGTCGCTAATGAAACTGGAGAAGAAGCTTTGCAAAACAGCAGATATGGGTCCTTGTTCCAGTTCATATTCTGTCCATTAAATACTCAGCGTTTTAGGGCTGAAAGTATGTTTATCACACTCTCCTTTAAAAGGAGCTGTTTATGTTTCAAATCAAATTTGCATGTATCCCTTCAAGTCTGCAGAGCCATTTCTCCATCTGGAGTGCTCTTGAAGTTGCTCAGTTTTGGAGATGTTGACTGCAAGAAAGTTGTCTCCTTACTATTAAATATATTGAAATTTGGTAGATACTTACAGGCATATTTAAATTCTCACATGAATACTGTGTAAGTATATCCGATTGTACTTAATTACACCCATAACTGCTTACTTATATACATACTTAATTACTTACATACTTACTGGCACATATAATGGATTAATAGCTTACATACTTACATAATTGCCTACTTACATACATACATGGATGCTTGCATACTTGCTGAAATACATACTTAACCCTTTGAAGCCTGAACCACAAAATAATAATTTTAATTTTTTAAATTCTAGTTTAAAAAATATATATGAATAAGTTTTCATTTGTAGTATATTTGCTACATCAAGCATTTTCTGACGTACTGTAAAACGTACAGTGTACACGTACAATGTATGTCGGTCTTTGGGGGAGAAAAAATTAAAATTGACGATAGAAGTGTCATGAAGTCTCAAAAACAAAAACCCATGTACCAAATATGGTGTACTTGGCTTTAAAAGGGTTATTTTCCTACTTGAATATTACATATAGTGACATACTTACTTATTTGCTTGTTTTCTTGCTTCATTAATGTCAAGAAAAGGTATCATATTTCCTTTCATAAAAGCAGCACCTACCTAGTACCTAAAAAAAAATCAAACACTCAGTCCTTGTTGTTAGCAGCTTTGTGTCTTTGTGCTGAGCTACAATCACCAACTATGGTTGTTGGAAGTGTGCAGTGAGCTAAGAGTGCTGCTCACCTCAGAGGAACTCACAGGGCTCTAGACTAACCTTCTGCCACAGTTACATTGGTGCGCCCAACTTGATTAACTGCATTGCTTAACCCCACTGTTTTACATGTTCACTATTCGCTGTCCATACAGACAAGATTGATTTATAAATGATTAACTAACAATCTTGTCAACACAAAGTTCTTTATTTGGAGCACAGTTCTAAAAGAAAGATAAGTTACTCAAAAAGTGCTTGTGCTTAAAATGTGTTGGCACTCTTTGGCAATATTGTAGACAATGTTAAACTCAATCATCACATCGGCCTCCTCTGACGACCTCTTCTCCCCAGCGCTGAAAAGCAGCGGGGAGAGGGGGACACTTGGGGAGTGCATTTATCATGGCATTTAATTTGTTTTCTGGACACACTGTGCTTTTTCAGCGTTCAGAGGTTGATGGCTCCGTGTCAGAGGCTATGAATTTCAGACAGATCAGGGCTTAACTTAACGAAAAAGTCATCTTTTCTCATTACCCACAGCTACATCCACTTCTGTCGGGCCTAGGCTACATAAACACAAAACGAGGACCCGAAGCATCAGAATCTGTGAGTTCTCGGCCTTCAGCACCGATGGTGTGTCCGTGTACTTGCCGTTGGGTGAGAAAGCCGCCATCTCACTGATTCTGATGCGTCGGGTCCACGCTTTGTGTTTATGTCTTTGTGCAGAATCCGTTTACCTGCTCTCATTTGATGTTTTAGCTTTTTGGTGGTTGCTGAAATAGTTTTGTGAGCTTTAACATGAGATTCTGGCATTTCTGGCAAAATACATTTATATTTAAAAGTTGATTCAGGATTTTATAACTCGATATCGCTTTATTCAAGCTACTCACCTCTCTCTATCCACCTGCACTTTCAAACGAACACTAATGTAG